GGCCCCATCAACCCGGCCTCGCTGCCTCCCGGCGACCCTCAGCTCATCGCTCTCATCGTGGAGCAGCTCAAGAGCCGGGGCCTGTTTGACAGCTTCCGCCGGGACTGCCTGGCCGACGTGGACACCAAGGTAGTCGAGGCCACCTGGGCCGAGGAAGCCGGGCTGGGAGTGAGGCCGCCAGGGTTGCAGCTTTGAATTTCCAAAGCAGAGAACAAAAGAGCGTAAAAATCTCGGCGGTGAGGTGTTGCACCACTTGGGGCAGTAGAGGGCTGAGTGTGCACACGTGGGGCCCGCCCCAGCCCAGCCGCTAAGCAGCTGGCATTTTAGCTGAGCCTTCTCCGAACCCGGGGGTTCTGTACGGATTTTAGAGCCCAGGCCTTGTTTTTCCCAAGATGGAACTACGTTACGCCCCTCGGTAGCAAACGAATGCCAGTATGTTAGGAATCGTGGAGAAAGGTGGGTAAGCTAGAATGCCTCTGAACGCTCACTGTTGTGTAGACACAAAGGACAGCACCACCACCCACACACACACAGGGGACCTGTGTATCTGTCTGTCTGTGGCTTGCTTTCCTCTAACTCAGTAGTTTGCCACTTTAGTGCGGTTTAGATACATTGTACCTTATTTGGTACTCCCTGCATCCTGATGTAAAAAGGGATTTTCTTCCTGGGTTATTGAATGCCACAGTCCTTCAGGATAGAGCCCTGGCATGTGAAACTGCACACAGTGGCGTGTGCCGTTACACTCCTGCAAGGGGACAAACCCTGGTAGAAGTGCTTCCCTCGAAACAAAGCGCAGTAGACACCTCGTACCTGCAGGAGATGCCTGAGGTGGTAGGTAGTCCTGAACTCGGGAGAAACGGCCTTTCCCTCTGCACCGGACCGGCGGTGAAGTCCAACTAGACACGGTCCCCAGGGAACACCCGTCATGAGATAGACGAGGGTGACAACATGCAACGCTGCCGGAGGAGTGACGTGAGCGTGGCGTACCTTCCTCTCTGACAGCGTGAGGTGGTCGTGTGATGAGATGAAGCGATGCCAAAGACTGGGCGTCGTGCTGCAGCGTTATTCTAGTCCTGACCTTCCAGTTCATAAAGAGCCATGACGATTTTCCGGACTGTGGATAACTGAAACTGCAGAAAGGGAAACAAGAAGAGAACTCTCCTGTAATTTTCTGTATTTGCGGGTTTCTCATACACACTGAGAGAGCTTTCGCCTTCCTCGGGACGGAGTCTGCAACTTCCGTCACAAGTTCTGCACTGATATTTCTCATTCCATTAGGTTTCCATAGCTTAATCAATGCATGCATAGGATTTTAAAACAAAAAACTCCAGTATGTGTTGAGAAGCTGTTGGGGGAAGGCAGGTGGACACCTTCCCCACTTATTCCTCCTTAGCTGTTCTTTCTGGTAGTCACCATGTTGTTTTAATTCTTCAAGACCAGGCAGATCTTTGTTGCTTTATCCCATTAGATTTTCCTTTTTTTTTTTTTTTTTTTTTTTAAGTTTGCTATAGCACGCATGTGCTTGCAGGGGGTGGGGAGAGAGAGAGACAGAAATGAAGAAAAACAAAGTGAGAAATCTCCCCTGGAGGTGATGGCCTCACCCCAGTCCTGTCTCCTCATTCTCTTGGGATTGGGGCACACACACACATGTGCCTGGCATGTTTTTCAAGCCACCAGGTTTAGGACTTGAGCTGCACAGTTGGTGTGTGGGACCCAGCCACCTTAACCTCCACACTACCTGCCAGCCCACCCCGTCGGCTTTTAAGCATGGTCCTCGGCTCAGCAGCAGTACCCAGCATCGCCTGGACTCGTTAGAACGGCACGTTCTTGTACCCGCCCAGACTGCCGAGGTGTTCGGGAAAGCAGCGGGTCACACCTGTAGTTTACTTTGCGGTGCTTCTAAGATATAAGTCAGTAGATCCATGTGGTCAGCGGGTAAAAGGGGAGCCAGACTCCTTGGTAAGATGTAATGGCAGGCACGTTGGCCCTTGGACTTCTTGCTCACAGGGATTATCCTCTGGTCTAGTTTGGTGAAGATTTTGTGGTGGCATTCTCGATGCCCTTTGTGCTTCTTCAGTAAGTTGTTCCCTCGCAGTCTGAAAGCAGGTGAGTTATTTTGAGCGGTAGGGTAGTATCAGGATTCGCAGTTACCAGTGACAGATCTAATCCTCACTCCTTTAAGTGAAGGAGGGGATCTGTTGACGCTCGGAACCCAAGGAAGGATGGAGTGGACAAACTGCCCGAGGTAGCATGCACGGGGCAGGGTTCGCCGCCGTGCCGTGCCCTCGAGCCCTGTCTCCCCTCTTGCCCACTACTGCACCATGAGCCAGGCGTTTGCTTGCTAGTATCTCTTGCTTTCCTCGTAGAGTTTCCTGTGCTAGAAAGAGTTTCTCAGCTCCAGTTCAAGAAATCCCAGGGAATAGCCGCGTTGTCCTAGCGTGGATCAGGTACCCATCCCTGTGACCAGGAGGACGGGGCACCTACCGCCCTGTGCTTGTGAAGAGGGGAGGTAGTTACAGGAAGGAGGAGCTGCCAGGCAGACAGAACGCCGGTGTCTGAATTCTGCTGCTCGCCCGTCTCCCGCCCTCCTCTCCGGGGTCAGTGGACAGTGTATGTTTGCGAGTCTGTTCTCTTGGCCTTTGGAGGAGTCCAGTCAGGAGCTGAGGCCCACTGTTCTTTGCCAGTTTCATTTCCCTGTCAGCGATCTGCCATGATACCGTACACGAGCACGTCATAGCGGCTCAGGACAGGCATTGATTTTCATACTGATAGGGCTACAGGTCAGCCAGAGTTCAGCTGATCTGCACGGCTCAGCCGGATGGCTGCACTGCAGTCTGCCGGGTGCCTGGGCTTGGGTGGGGCTCCAGGTTGGGGTTACACCTGCTGTTCATGTCCCTATCCAGGTCCCAGGCCACAGGGGCAGGGGCTCCTTTAATGGGCCCTCAGAGGGGGGTCACCCGAGCACGAGAGCCAGACCAGATAGCGCGGCCACATTTAAGACCTCTTGTCACTGACACTGACCAGAGCTGATCACGTTGCTGAACTCGGCATTGCTGGGTGGGAAGTATTCTCTGCTCACCTTGGAGGGAGGGGATAGTGCAGTGCTGGACAGAAGTCACGTCATTAGCCTGGTGTGCAGAAGACCGACTGGCAGTGCCACAAGTCTGAGGCTCCGGACGTGCTTGCTTTGCATTCACCAAATCGCCTTCAGTTTTGTCTTCCCGAGCCTAGTTGAGCCTAGAACGTTCAGACCAAAGTGCCTTTAGAGTCCTCTTGGCGTTCTTTCCTCCAGCCTTTCACGGTGTCCGTGGGCCCCAGCTTCAGCCTGCACTCCTAAGTGGTGCTGAGGTTTGGGTGGCCCTTCGTTTTACATGGGGCTTTGCTGAGCCCTCGTCTGTCGCTGAGAACACTTGCCCAAGGTAAGCGGGGCAGCAGTGTGTCGGTTTTCCAGATGGAAGGACTGAGGCTCAGGTCGACCGGCTTGTAGTCAGAGGTGGCGCCAGGGCTAGAATCCTGCTCCTGTGGCTCAAAGGTGGCCCCACTCGGCCCAGCTTAAGCCTTGGCTATGCCACGTTGCAGCCATGTGGCAAGCTGTGCACTTTCTAAGCCTGAAATTCTGATCTGGGGGCCAGAGAATGCTAATAGGAAGGACCGCCCTCGTGGTTGTTTAAAAGGTGAAAGTAAACCACCAGGCCTAGAGCCACCTCCCCTGTGAGGGGCACCCATGTGGCGTGCCGTGGTGACTGGCATGCTGTGCTGATCTTCATACTCCGAGGGACTGGGTTTAGACTTGAAGCCACGTGGCTCTGTGTACTGTTCTGAGTTCTGGAACTCTGGGGCATGGAACAACTGACCTTGTCTCCTCTTTTCAACATTCTAGCCAGCTTACCAAAACCTGAGGCAGAAAGTGGATAATTTTGTGTCAACACATCTGGACAAGCAGG